AATTGCCTCTTCAAAATCTTGGTGCGTCTCATACTCCGGTGCGTCTTATACTCCGAAAAATACAGCAATCCTTTACAGATAAGTAGTAGAATATGCCATTGAAAAGATTAAGTAATGTTGATTCTTATTATGCCTCTGTAGGAGGGCAGATTCTGATTGACTGCAAAAAACAAAAACAAAACCAGACCCTAATAGTAACAGTTCAATAGTGGAACAAGGCTAGGCAACCATTGGACCGAGATACTTTAATCTGGATTCCTAATTTATGGGTTAGATTCAAAGTAATAAATGACTTCTTCCAACTCTGATTCCATCTCCATTGAATTTAATGGATTTAATGCAAGATTAAGCAAATCTTGCCAAACTTAAATTGAAGTCACAACTGCATAATGACTCGTGCCAGTACCTAAATTTTGTTCACATTCTCTGATAATTCATTACCAATAGGGTTTTTAAAAAAAATAAGAGCCAATTTCTAAACTATTTAGAAGCATGGCACTTTGACATGAAAATCTACCTGGTTCTTTAGAAATATCCACACAATTCAGTCTATTTCTTGTATATCAGTTGCCTATTTTGCAGGAACATCAGGTAGAATGCCAAATCTCTGCTATCCTTAACGCTGATGCAAAATCAATATTTCCAGATGATCAGTGGAAATGAATGATCCATCCAATTCTTTAAATCAATACAGTATAGTCAAAATATTAAAGTCACATAGAAAGTTAATAAATCCCAGTTGGAAATGAGGTAAGAATGAATTTTTTTCTTCCATTCTCCCACATAATCCAAATATTATCATAGAACTACTTTTCTATCACACTTTCCTGATATTTCAAATCTTGAGTAACTTCCTCAAATTGTGTATTTTATATGCAATGGGATGAAATAACTGGAAGTTGTTTCACATTTCAGGTTAAAATATAATTAGCTAGGTACATTAAAAATTGTGGGGAAGGTCATACATTTAAAAGTGAAAATAAATGAGTTTCCTGAAGGCATTGTTCTCACCAGGGCAGACATTCAGATATATATGCCATAGCATTGCATTCAATTGCTATTCACTTATTTTGAATGACAATATTATAGTTTTTAAATAAATTTGTTCTTTCTAGGTCAGGAATGAGTGTTAAAAAATCAAAACTGGAATATGAATGTTGTATTTGGTCCAATATTAATGCTATTGATTGCACAAACTATTTTCTGCAATACCCATGGTGTATAAGAATTTTTCCAATGTGGTGTAAGAGTTAAGGTGTTGGACTGGCTTAAGAGAGATTCAGTTTCTTCTTCAGTCATGGACACTGACTGGGTGACTTTGTGCCAGTAACCATCTATATTGAACCAGCTTCCCATAGTATCTGGGGGGTGGTGGAATGGAGAAGGGAATACTATGTACTATTGCTCTTGGCAATGCAAACTATCACAGGTGTTAAAGTAAAACTTGCTTATTTCCATTAATTTTTAAGACGGCTGCCAAATTTAATTACTAGGAGATGGCAGAATTATATTGCCCTTGAAGACAAATTTAATAGAGATCCAACTTCAGAAAGCAGATTGTTTCAAGTTTTTTTCTGATTGGATCTAAATCTGAACCTCACTTCACATATTTGATGTTTCTTATATTGTCCATTGATTACTGCAGATAAATTGAGAGAAGATGGCTTAGATCTGAGACTATTACAAATGTAAACATAATTAGAACCTTCTAAGGCTTGTTAATACTCTGCACTGTGAAAATATGAGGAAGCAACTCACTTTCTGTTCCATTTCATAGCAAGCATTTTCATATGCTATTTTATTTCATGTCAACCCACACTTCTGCAATTAGGCTCACAATTATAAAAGCAACTCCAATCACCCAGCTGCAGATTTCTATATCTTGTATACCTTACAGTACTAATTTAGAATTAATATTTCTCACATTTCCTTTTACTTGCCCACTTGGCTTTGCAGCTGCCAAAATAATTATTTTGACATGGCATTTGTGTCATTATACAGGCTCAATTCTTACTATACTCTTGGACTTTGCTTTTGTGCCTAGCAAACAAAGGTTATGCTAAAATATCCCCGACTTTTATTTGCTGGATGGCATCATCCTATTTAAAACAAACATATTTCATTTTTTTAAACTAGAGGTCCTTGGAAATTAAGATTTTTCATATTTCTTTAGAGGTTACTAGTTCAATGCTTTCTTTAGTCAAAAGATATGTATACAGGATACTGGGCAAATACTGGTAATCATGTCTCTGAAAGTAGCATTTGGTTACAATGTCATACTATTATATAACTACTACATTAAGCATGTAGTAGCCTTTTGAAGCTTTAGTGTTTGTCTTTGTCTAATTATGCAGACATGCATAGCACAGATAATCTTTTCAATCTGACCGCTAGCAGAGCAGTGTGGCTATGAAAATTAACACATGAACCCAAAATTGATAACATCTGATAACTCTACAGTCTACGTTATAGCTCTAATTTCTTTAGCACCAAGTCAGCAGGTGCCTAAGGAAAAGAGTGCTCACTTGAATACAATAATTGACAGGCTGTTAGTCTGCCTTCAATGGTGTCATCCTTTGTGTACCATTTTGAAGCTTCACTTTATAAAAGCCCCAGCAATAAATTTGAAATATCATCTAGATAGAAGCTATAAAAGAACCAGAATCAAGCCCCGATTGCTTCAAAATATCTGAACCAGAGCCATTAGAATTATTTCAGAAGGGATCTCATTACATCTCTTCATTCAGGCAAGTATGAATGAATGTCATTCTTCAACCAGCATGCCAGTCTCTACAGTTCCAACAGACATTTTTTTTAATCAGACATTGTCTCTATTATGTGGAAGAAAGCAGCAGCCTTGCCAATTTCCTGCTGCTTGCACAGATGCTTGTTCCTATAGCTTCTACTCTAACTCTCTTTGGCAGATTACCAGCAGTAGTAATAATTATTATTTATTAAACTTGTAACTCAATGACTCCGGGAGGCACACAGCAGACAAATTACAATAACAGCAATACAACATTAAAAATAAAGATAAAAGGCATCAAGTGCAATAGACCAGATGGATTGAAGCAAGCAGACTCATTCTCCCTCACTAAAGGTCTGAGTGAAGAGCCAAGTCTTCACAGGTCTTCTAATAGCAGAATGGGAGCCATCCACATCTTGGGGAAATCTCATTTGAACTGAACAAAGCTCTTGTCAAAGTAAGACTGTCAAAGACTCTGCAGATGCAATAAAGCTTTACACCACTGTATACCTGGCCACATTAATTTAAAATTACCATGACTCAATCTGGAAGTAAGAGTACTTTGGAAGGAAACAGTAGAGCTGGAAAAGGTGCAGGAAAAGACAATTTATAACTGATTAGGGTACATAAGCTAGAAGAGTTCCCATTCAAGGGGAAATAGTAACAAGGATCAGCAATTTTTATCAAGTGGCATCAGAGGTAGTATTCAGCTGGTTTGGACCAGTTCTGGTGTACCCGTAGCGGAAATTTTGAGTAGTTCAGAGAACTGGCAAATATCACGTCTGGCTGGCCCCTTCCTCCTGCCCCCGCTGTGCCCTGTCCTATATCCCCTTGTTTTTTAGCTCAGCGAAATTTAAACTTCTCACCTCTTTTTTAAGGATCTTATTTAGTGCTATCCAACTTCATTTTTCTCCATCTTCCTCTCAACTTATATGTATATTGGTTACTCACTTTTGCATTCAATGTACAATTATTTAGCAGCTGATATGTCTCCAAACATCACACTTCTAACAGCACCAACATAATTAATTATCCATAAATATACTCAAACAATCAAGGGGAAAATATGTTTGTTTTGTATTTGCTCAGCTGAACTTTTAGCTTAGCATTCAATTCTCATGCATGCTGAACTTCCATCATACTTACTGCTTTCTGCAACCTTCGTTATTGTGTAAAACATCCCATAATTCAAGTCTATTAACATTATTAGACACCTTCTTTAAAATACAATAAATACTTTGTTTCATTTTATTACGCATTTTAAAAGGAAAAACCGCCAACATCCAAAAAGAGAAAGAAAAAGCATATAGTACATAGACAGATTCCCAACTATCATAAGATTCAGTCAATTGAACACTAGATGATTTTGGACCACTCTCAGGTTGGGCAATCTACTCTACATTCACTAAGTGAGGTGCTTCAATTCTCAGATCTGAATGTTTTACTCTTTGTTTTAGTGGGGATTAAGAGATAAAAAACTTTCCAGATCTTAATGCATCCATTTTATTCCTTTAAATTACCACAAAAACCATAATGTTAAGTCAATTGCAAAACAGAAGGAAGAAATGAAACCCGCAATCTTAGCCCAATCTATTTAATCAGGTTTATTTATATTTCACTTTTTAAAACCATCTCTCTCAAAGAATGGACTTCAGATGGTGTTGCTTTTTGAGGGGTGAAACCCTGAGTTCCTGTAGGAAAGATGAGGTAAAAATAATGAAGAAATTGCTGATGAGAATTTTACAAGAATCATTTGTTTTGTAAGATAATTAGTAAACAGTAATTGTAAAATATTACCATGAAGAGAAATTCAAAATTTGTCTAAAATCTAGACTTTTCCAATGGCACTGGGTTCTGTAAGTATCACCATCAGCCAGGGTTTTAGCTTCAACACTTTAAAGAGCTGGCGAAGAGCTTTGTGATCAATTATCTTTCAAAGATGGAATTAGTTAAATCATTGGACGATTAAATGAATTCTATTTACAATTGATGAAAGAAAGAGTCCTGCTTGTAGAAATGTTGACTATTGGTCTCCTATAATATTGGAAAATGTTAATATTAGGATTAAAACTTTTAGAATGATCACATACATTAACAAAACAACTTTAATTAAAAGACAGACTCCTTCCAGCATTCTCCAGCAGATGTCATCATGAGGCAGCAGTATGTGATTTAAAATGTCATTGTAAAATAAGAGTATTGTAGTTTTTTTTAGGCACGTCAAAACAAATCATAAGACAGAAGGCAATGCTTAAAAAGGCAGTATTTTTATTCTTCAACATAAAGTCAGAAACAGTATAAACAGCAAAAAATACTAAACATCAATGCAAACAAAAATAATTTGTTCTAAAATAGGTATTCACAGTACTTTTCTGCACATAAGCTTCCCTCAAACATCAGGTAAGCCAAAGAAGATATTCCATGTTGCAGTGCAGCACTTGGAAGCTTTAAATGAGAGGTGCACTTAGGAACAACAACAGGATAACCTTCTATCCTGCCAGACAGAAAGAAATTAAACAAACCCAAATGGATCTGGTACCATGCATGACACTGCAATTTCCTAATGGCAAAGATATTCAAAAAAAAATGCTAGCAAAATAAAATGAGCTATGGAAATGTGAGCCAATACATGTTTAAAATACTTCTATTCCTTTATGTGAGCTTCACAGCTGTGAAGCAATAATGGCAGGGTAAAATATTTAACATTGTTGATTTTTTACACTACAGGAAATGGATGCTCTATCTTCTGGTGTCAATTGAATTAGTAAAATACTAAGCTTGTTAAATGGATACACTGCTCTAACCAATCTATGTCTCTTAAAAATAAATTACATCATTATTACCTAGGCAATAACTATGTAATTTTATTTTAAAGAATGGATTTTAAAGAATTAAAATCCTATTTTAATGTAATGAGGCAAAAGTTATTTCTTCTGTCTTGATTTTCCTTACTAAAAATGTAGCCAATTCATAATGATTGGGATAAAAATAACAATAACTCAGTCTGTGTTTAAAAATTCCCATGATATATCATCCCGCACTACCTATCATGAACTCACCAAGCCAGTTTGGGGATTGCGAGGTGTTTGTTGTATGGAAATGGTAAACAATTACATGGGCTTTCTGAGGAAGTTGGCTTCCTTGTGTCAACTCACTAAATCTTCTCCAAATCAGCCACTCCCTGTAATTATATGGAATTAACAGCTATTTGTTGCTAGTAACACCTGTCCATGCAGTAATCAACTTTACTACGAGAAGAGAATACAACTCACCAAGTTGTTTTTTTTCCTTTGGAATGTGCATGCGCTAAAGTCACACATGCAGGATTTTAAATAAATCCTGTGAGGTCAGGCAGAAAAACAGACAGTATTTCTTTGCATGAAAGCTGTAAACATTTATGGTTCACAGTCAAATAACTGCACACCATGAAGTGTTTTCTGTAAAAGGGAAAAAGACAGCTCTGCTTATTAAGATTATTTTCTATACATGGAAACAAAAGGAAAATCGCTTATCACTACTCAGAAAAAAATTACAAAATTATACACAGTGTAAGGGTTTTCTTCTTCCCCGTTAGGTCATCTGGCATTTCTATAATAACAAAGATGGCCTTAATCCAATTAAAATATTGTGCTTTTTTCCTTCTAAAGATATATTGTCAGTGTCTTCGAGATGCAATGTATTTGTTTCTTCACAATTTTTTTTTAAGTGTACTTGCCTGCAGTTATGCTTAGCGTGTATGTGGATATACAAACACATACACGGCCACAAAAATAACTCTGCACTAAACTTTGTCCTGAGAAAAGAGTATTGCAGGTCCTAGCATCTTAAAACTAAGACAAAATGCAATGGCTTACAACATTTAAGTTCTTATTATGTTTGTTATCCCTGAGGGAATGTCTTTTCTTTAAGCCATAAGAAATTTCTTAGAATCAAGTATCAATCACAAATTTAAACTGACACATTTTTGTTAATAATGATGGCTGAATGATAGTTATTGATTACGAGCAGTTGGGGGACTTCGCAGTGACTCTTGTTCTAGCAACGAAGTTAAGAATATGAGTGTCCTTTCAAGCTTTCTAGTGAAATATTCCTCCAATGATTTTAACTATGAGCCTCAAACAAATAAACAAATAAATGAAATTCCTCAGGGAGCAGTGATGGCTCCCAAAATCATTAAAAGGAAGAAAGCCCCCCACACCTTTCCACTAGTTCTTTTTCTTGCCCAGTACCTTCACATCACCACCACGCTGTTCTAGACGGTTCCTGTGTGAACATTTTTAAAAATAATGTAGGAGGCAATCTTTGTATGGAAGCCTCTGCTGAAACAAAATCCTTTTGAAAATTGAAGTTTTCTCAATCCAATCCTCTAACATCAAGTAATTTTTAACAGGCAGACCAATTATCAGCATATAGCATCATTAAGTAGGTTATATGTAAAACTGTATAAATACTCAAGACAATCTGTAATTGGGTCTTGGAAGTTCCTTTGGCTGCTTAATGATATAATCTTAGGAAAAAAGTAATTTGTTGTATTGTAATATGCTGTTTTGCACCAGCTTTGTATAGAGAGAAACGTATACATATTCAAAAATAAAAGAATGCCATCTTACTGAATATCTACATCTCATGTGATTACAGGTGGGGATAAATCCATGTTATGGCACAACACAGTATGTTATTTCACACTAAAAACTAAATATGCAAAAACAGGTAATCCTCCAAAACTGAGCACTGCCAGTTCATTTATTTATAATTGATAGAGTGAAAAAAAGTTAATAGTTGTACTGTCTTTTACAATGAACAGCACTTTGGTACTCACAAATAGTAAAGCAGCACTGTCTTTCAAAAACCAACACTACTGTAACACCCACTGTAATGTGGCATGCAAATCCACAATTGCAACCCCTATTGATTTTGCATTTATCCAATGGTAATCTTGTTTCAAATATGAGTAGCACAGTAATGTCTGGCTACAAAGGAGATATTACAACAAGGAACTTCATAAAACATGGAATATGATGCTTATATCCATTCATATTTTAAGCACTATAATAACCAACTTTGCAGTACCAGGATTCCAAACTGCTGGACATTATAAATCACTGAACAAATTTTAACTAAATTGGTTATTTAACAATGTAACCATCAAACCCAAGCCACCAATAAATTGGCTATAACACAAATCTAATTGTTAACTTCACGGCACAAAAATAATTTGTCCTTTCATTAGGTTTCTTTACACAATAATTTTCAGTGACATATATGTCAGAGTCAAAGGCTAATTGCTCTTGGAGTTAAATAAGCTCTGTTTAATTGCGGTCATGTTCTATATTGTTTAGACTGAGCTGAGTTTAACAAGGCCACGCACTGAGTCTTCATGCAGTGAATCCTGGCTAACCAGGCTGAGGCTGTGCATGGTGCGGCTGTGGGTCAGGACGTATCCAAGCGGTAACATCCCAGGTGGAGCTTCTTCAGGAGTAAGAAACGGATGATTTTCAGGGTCCTCTTGCAATGGTATCATTTCTGACAAGCTTGTTTCTGATGTGAGATTTGGGATGGAAGAAGGTGGTGTTGGTTGTCCTAGTGTCACCATAGCACAGGGAGCACCAAGAGTATTTTTTCCTGGTAAAGGCAGCTCTTCACTACTTAGGCTGGGCTCACTCTGGAGGAGTGGGGTGGCAGCGGCCTGCAAAACGAATTTAGTGCTCTGAATGCACTGATGTTGATCACACTGAAGAATGAAGGGTACCAAAATAATATACAAGGCATGAGAAATACAGGGATGGAAGGGTATGGACAAAAGAGGAATGGGACATAAAGAGAAAGAAAAGAGTTATTAATTACACTTCCTTGTTAAACTGACCAAGACAGCATGTACAATATATTGTTGAATTCCAGAGAAGTGAAAGTATATAGTATGAAAAGCATTTGCCAGATAAAATAATTTATAAACATGCTAACTTTCCTCCCATGGTACATTGATATTTACATATCTCTGTGTATGTCTTGTACTTTGGCTCTGCATCCTTATTTAAGGCCACAGACTCTTTCAAACAAAAGCTGGGCAGATTTAAAGAGCTTTCAACACACAAAGTCTGCAGTTCTCTGTATATATGACAATCTGTACACATTCAAAATTTATGCTTCCATTAGTTTTCTAGCAATGAGAAGAGCTCAGCAACATAATAACTCTGCAACATCATTTGGGTAAAAAGCACATTATAGAATCAGAGGTGAAAAGAATCATTTAAGCTACAAAATACAATCTCCTGCACAAGGCAGGAATTCATATTAATAAATTCCATATAGATGCCTGTCTAGAATTTGCTTAACATAGTCACTGAAGGGGAGACCAACACCTTTCTGGATAACTGGTTCTTCCGCTGAACTGTTCTTATGTTTTTTTCTAATATTTTCACTTGGTATCTGCCTTCCTGTCACTTAATCCACTTTTTCATGTCCTGTCCTATGAAAGAAGAAAGAACAGACCTTGATCGTCCTCTATGTAACATCATCTTAAAAATGCTATCATACATCCCAGACTCATCTTTTTTTCCAGCTAAACATATCTAGTTCTTTCAATCTCTTTTTCAAGAGGCTGTTTTTAATCTCCATATATATCATTGTCTTACTTCAAACTTTGAATATTGAATCCTCCTTAAAGTATATTTTTCAGTATCATAGTAAGATAGGAATTGAGCAAAATACAATAAAATGGAACAATTATTTTCCATAACTTGTCAATCAGATCTCTGTTGATACAATCTAAACCCTTCATTTATCTGATTATAGTTGCATCATTATTGCAGATACTATTTAAATAAAATTTATTAAAATTATATGCCACCCAACATAACGGTTCTTGAATGACTCAACAATCAAACAAATAAATTACTATAAAATCAATAAACATAAAAGGTTAAGATTAAAGATGACAAGTGTGACAAAGAGCCAGGTCTTCATGGCTCTTCTAATCAACTACTGTTTCAAAGATCATTTTCACAAGTACTGTTAATAAACATAAATTAGAATTAATCTTCTAGTACCTTTTTAGAAGTAAAATTTTTATTAAAAGGCATAAACTTTCATGAGTTGCTGATAATTTAATCAAATGTAGCTTGCAAAAGCTATTTTCTTTTAATAAAATCTGTTTTAAAAAGCTATTCCTTCCTGTTTTTGGCTACTGAAGATTAACATACCTCCCCTTCTACAATGTCTATATTCCCTCATTCTAAAACCAGATTGTTGGGGGCAATATGCTGACGTGACCCGTCAAAAGCGCGTTCCACAAAAGCGCGGTCGACGAAATCGCGTATGTGACGTCATCACAACGCGACGAAAAAGATCGAAAAATTGAAATAAAAATTAAATTACAGCAAGCCGATTCACATAAAGGTAAGGGTTAGGGTTAGGTTAAGGGTTAGGGTTAGAGCATTAGCGTTACGTTTAGCGTTAGGTTAAGGGTTAGCGTTAGGTTTTTCGTTACGTTAAGGGTTAGGTTTAGGGTTAGGTTAAGGGTTAGGGTTAGGGTTAGGTTTGGGGGGGTTAGGGTAAGGTTTTAGCTTTATTTTTACATTTTTCGATCTTTTTCGTCGCGCTGTGATGACGTCACATACGCGCTTTCGTCGACCGCGATTTTGTCGTCCGCGGTTTTGTGGTGGAACCATATGCTGATACTGTAAACTGCTTAGAGAGGGCTGTAAAGCACTATGAAGTGGTATATAAGTCTAAGTGCTATTGCTATAACTGCATTTGATTTTTGTTTTATAAGTGAAGAAAACTGAACTTGTCTTTGTTGACTGTAATGTTAATTTCAGCCATATATTTTAAATACATTTAGTGTGAACAACAGCCATAATGTAATTTATCTGATTTTTGTGTAGTACAATGTGAGAATCCAGGCTATAATACTTATTTAGTAAGCAATGGTTAAGTAATCTTAGCAGATTTCATGAGCCAGGGCACTGGGCTGTATCTGACATTTATACAAGAAGTCAGAAATTGTAAAAACTTTCTTCTCCTCCCTTGAATAACTGCAATTTCCTGAAATATACAGCATATTCTATTTAGGTGCAGAACTTTCCTGCATAAGTGAAACTATTCTATTTGAATTTACAAATTTACAATAGCAATACTGAATGCCCCCTTCTAATGTAGATAGAGATTATAGTGATATTCACTGTATGCTTGGGTTAGTTAATCAGAACATAATCTATGAATGCTGTAGTATATTGTTCAAATATATGAGATTATTGGAGAAATGATGTAATGCACAAGTCAATATGGGACAAATTCATCTTAATATGATATAATAACTATATAGACTGACGACAGTCCCACTGTTTAATTTCCTTAAACTTATTTTTAAAAGTATACATTTTGTATATTATTGATACAAAAATACAGGACCTATGTTATACAAAAATCATATTACCATCATTTAGCTAAGTTTTTGGCATTAAAAATGTTTACTTTCATACGGTGTTTAACTTTGCCTGCAATTTACTGTACTTAAGTCTCAAACAGGAAAGCACTTAAATTTATGTAATTCATAAGTCCTTCTGAAAACATTTAGGCTCCTATAGCTGCTTTAATAAAATTATAGAAACATAATCTAATTAGATTGAGAAACATCCTGTCCCTTAGTGATGGTTCATATACCTTTTAAATTAGATTTAAATTCTGTCAAAATCTTTCCAAACGGTTAAATATTAGAACTAATGCTCATTAACTATTAATAGATTAATAGACAAATAGTCCATACAATGCAAATGAAATAACAACAACTTTCATACAAATGTATCCTATTGAAAATTGCTCATTTAAAACATGGATAATTTATTAGTTACTTTATATGTAATTAACTATTTTAATATTAAAATTGAATATTCAATATATATTTAACATATATTTAAGGTATGGTTTTATTTCTTTTTAAAATAACAGCACTAAATAGACTTTTTGAACTCAACTCACAAAAAGCATATCTACTAATTGGCATTAAAATCCAAGGAACATCTCTAGCAGCATCAAAGATGATTCCTTCCATTATACATTTTGGCTAGGCCTAAGATAAAAAGATAATTTTATTCTACCATCTCTAAAAGTTTACAAAAATAAATTGCAATTAAGCATTAAAAAAATCAATACATTTATTTTTCCATGTTGTCTGACTTGGTCAATGTTTCATATCACTGGAATTCTACATCAATAAGTATAATTTAATTGAAAGGGACTTGGAAGAAATATCAATAGTATTGAACTTATGGAAGAGACTACTTTGAAAAGGGGAAAATAAGCAAAATGGAACAAGTATACAAAAAAGAACAACATATTGTAGCAAATATTTCATGGGTTCCTATCATGCTGCATGAAAGCACCAGTTTCATGCTGTTTTATAAAAACCCTTTTTGTAATATAGAAAAATGCATAGAAAAATATGCAAAGGATTATAAAATATTGAGGCAAATGGGACTCATAAAAACATACACATTCTCTGTGATAAATAGGTTCACTAAGATAGTGGCTGTTAATCAAGTTTAAAAGATTAGGAGCCTATCAAACTAAATGAACCTGTTTTGATAGCTATTGCTTTAAAAGTAAATACTGCCTGTCCAGTTTATCCAGAGTTTTGGTACAGCAACAGATATGCAATCGATGGACAACTGTAATGGATACTTTCTGGTCTGTCATAGCATTTGGGTGTGTGTAATATTTTGTCAGCTGAAAGGGAGGCTTCCTGCAGTGTCTTTTTTTTTCTTTTCCCCCTCACTAGCATTTTAATTTTTTTTAGTCCAAGTATTTTACCTTATTTATATTTTTATGTTTTTAAATATTTTTTTTGCAGTATATACAGAATTATGTCACAGAAATTACAATTAACAACAAATCCATATTCTAGGGATCTGGACTAAATCTGTATTTTTAATTGAAGCTTTAATTGAAGAACTATCCCAAATTTGAAACAGAAAATAATGAAAGAGTTCTGTAAGGTTAAAGTGCTTAAGAAGAATGCAAACATCACAGGACAGATAAATGAGGTACTGACATTTTCAGGACTACATACTGTAGTATTAAAACAATCCCAGTTCCAGGAATTTATATATAAACGCAGCAGTAACAAATATTTCTATAATATCTGAAATGTTTTCTTGAACATAATAAAAAATAGATGAATCAGTTATGAAGAGATGGCACAATCCACAATGTTGAATCAAGAATAACCTTCATAATATTGTAGAACAGCTGAGTGCCTGTGGATTGCAGCCTGAAATACTAATGAAAAAATGTTTAGGAAACATGACTTTTGGTGAGTGAGTGGACTCTCATGGCATATTTTATGGCATAAAAGAACTAATTAAAGAAATGATGGAGTACTAGCAGTGTACTAAGATGGGGATAAAAGCAAAATATACTACCAACCTTCAAAAAGGAAAAGGTGATCCTGTCAATTACCACCTGGTTAATCTAACTTCAGTCCCCTATTAAGATAATGGAAATATTGAGAGAGAAAAACCATAAAAACCCAAATATTTTTAAACATTTAGGCAGTGAAGTAATGGGTATTTAAAATAATATTAATGCAGGTTTGATGTTCTAATTTTTCCAATTATACTATAAAGATTTACATGAAAATTATATAGATTCTTCAAATTATAATGAAAAAGATTTCATATTTCTAATTTATAAATATATCTGTGATGCAAAAAAGGATTACAGGTAGTCTTTGCTTACTGACCATAATTGGGACCACCCAATCTGTTGCCAAGTGGTGCGGTTGCTAAGTGGAAAACCGCAAGATTGCAATGAACTCCCAACTTCACTTCCATTTTAAGTAAATCTCTGCAGTCATTGAGTGAGACATTACACAACTGTGACTTACAATTTCACTTCTTTGTTCTCTATGCTACCTGTTGGAAGCCAGGTGTGAAGCATACAAATGGCAATAATGTGATCATGGGATACTGTGACAGTCATAAATGAAAGGATTGGTTATAAAAATGTTTTTTTCCAGCCACTGTAATTTCAAATGGTTGCTCAATAATGCAGTCAGTAAGTAAGGTCTAACCTTCATATTGATTTAAAAACTATGCTAGATCAGTTAGTTGCTTGGTTAATTGTGACAAAGTTAGCTTTTCAGGTGGAAAGTGATACTTAAAAGTGCTGTTATGGAGATCACTTATTTTCATCATTCATCAATTAGAAAAATAAAGCAAAAATTTGCAGTGTTTCAACATATTTAGATCCTGGGAACAATGAGAGGATGGGTAACTAATTTAGAGGAACTGAAATCATTTGGAGAGTAGACTAGTTTTAAAGGACCAACTCTGAAGTAATAACCTAAACATATATACAGTTTGAAATGATCATCATCACCAAACTGTCACATATCACTGAAATATGTTAGACTATTGAATTTTTCTAGAATTTTGTTCCTGGATTTACAAATATTAAGATTATAAATTAACAGTACAATGTTACAATACATATTGACGAACATCATGATGTTAAGCACAGATATAAAATCACTCAATTTTAAATCAAATTCCCTATTTTGACTGTTTAACTGAACAAACATACATACCAACTTAAATGTACAGTAACAAATAAAACACACTGGCTTACAATCAAAAGTCTGACCTTTACTGGTCCTTAGACATTGTCCCCAGAGAGCCAGTTAGGTTATATAATTCATGGCTTAATAAAATGGGGAAACTAAGGAGAACATTGCTGAAAGGCATAAAAGAAAGGAAGCAATTACTTACAAAGAGTTCTTCCAGGCTGGGCTTTTATTGCATAATTCCCTAATATATTCTATATTTTAATAGGGCTATGAATATTATTTTCCTATCAAAATTGATTTTTTATATCTACCAAAGAAGGAAATATGTCCTATTATCTGATGATACCAAAATTCTCTGCTATGATCATACAGTAAAGCAACCATTGAATATTAGTTATCACTGAGAAACCTACAGTGGCAAACCATCATTTCTGTATCATATAAACTACAACTTATTCAAACTTGTATAAATGTTCATATGTGACAATTTATGGATAAGTTTTAACAAGTTTGTATTTAATTCAGAACTTATTTTCAGGTGGAGATTTAAAAATAGTATTTAGAATAAGAATTTCTCTTTTTTTTAAAAAAACTACACGATATGCCATATGGTCACCAATATCAAAAAGTTAATAGATCGTGCTGCTTTTAAAATATTTCTATCATTTTTTTTAACCATAAATCTTTTACTTTGCTTTTTCTCCTAAATTTCATAGAAGCAAAATCTTGGCCTGAATTTTTGGTTAATATAGGTTTGAATTAATTTCTTTTTTAAAGAAAAACTTTGGAAATCTTTAAAATGTTTAGTTAATATTGAGAAATATCTAGAAAACTCAGAAACTACCGTTCAAATGAAATCAAAAGGCTATAACTCTAGTTTAATCACATGTAGTATTATCAGAACATATGCTGATTTCATTGCAAGCCTTTATCTGAATTTAGAACTATCATCAGAAAAATATATAATTCTATTATTTATCACAGCAATAAATATAATATTTTACTGGTTAAAACCAGTAATTCATCAATATTGTGAGATTTCATTCAAAAAAAGTCAATGCTGATTTCATCTCTATTTTGGGGAGTGGGGGGAAAATTAAAACCAATTACATTACAGATTATCTATTTCCTTTAGAAAACACTACTGTTTTTCAGAAAATAAGATAGGGTCTTATTCTCTTTTGACCCCCGAAATAAGCGCTTGGCCTTCTTATTTTTGAGGTGCAGGAGGCCCCTTTACCTGGGCCCGCAGCTTGTGGATCAGCTGATCCAGAGAGGGCCAGAAGTTCTGTTTCTGGCACACTCTTGCCAACCCTAGCGTCGCTGGACCTGCCGCTCTTTTTGTAGCCGCCACCAAGAGAAAGGGTGCAGTAGCTAGTTCTTGCAGTAGCTACTGCGTGGAATGGCTTCCAGAACACCATTCCGCGTGGATGGCAGGTGCACGTGGGGCACGTGGGGCATGTTCCCCCCATCCCCCCAGGAAATGGCGGGAACCAATTGTGCATGTGTTTAAATATTTTAGGGGAGGGCTTATTTTTAGGGGAGGGCTTATTTTTAGGGGAGGGCTTATTTTTAGCCCATGCGCTCAAAAGTCCAATTGGGCTTATTATCAGGGGAGGTTTTGATCTTATACTCTACTCTTGAGATAGCTGGTACTGAAAGGAGATTTCAGTAGCTGATACTGAAAGGAAAACATAAAAAAGAAGAATAGCAAAGAACAATAGTTTATTGATCAATAAATTGAAACCAGGTTAGAGTATAGAAAATGTAGATCAGAAAAAATAATGGTACAATTGAGGGAAGAGAGCTGCAAATGACCATATTAAAAGACTAAACCATGAAGTTCATTTCTGAGTAACTTCCAATTCTTTCTTCAGTTTATATATGGAAACCATAATTATAAGTGTGAGATTTCTTTAGAAGATCCAATAAAGGTGAAAAAACCGTAAAATTATAACAAAAAAAATGGCATATTAAAATAAGATGACAATAAAGTCAATTTTAAATAACAAATTTATTAACATTTTCTTAGTTTCATTTGATCTATACACTTCTGCCTAAAAATGGAAATATGCAATCATTACTATGATAGAAAAACCAAAATAGAGAAAAATAAGCATAAAGTGTTTTAAAATAAATCCGTTCATTTATAGCAAACAAATATTTTATTTATCTTATATACACTTACTTACAAAGTCAATGAGTCTTTGGGTTAAATAAGCATATATAAAACTATGTTATGCATTTAGTAATACTATAAAAGATATAATTGGTACTAGATAAGAAAAATGATCAATGAACTCACCTGAAAAATTATTGATCAAGATAAAATTCTTATATTGTTATATAAAACATTTAAAAAATCATATAGCTATTAAAGGTGTATTATTACTGTACTTCACTTAAATGAAAAAAAAAATAAAGATTGGAGATTCAGATTTTTTCTTCTTTTAAAGTCTAGAACTAGGAGGAGTAAAAATATACAAGTAGTTTGACACAATTTTAATATACTAAATGCAATTAGTATATTAAATTATATATTTATTAGAATGCAATTCTAATTAGGATTCCCTTTTTTATAAAAATATGAGTTAAAAATTTGCAGTAGTTAAAGATAGTGGCCTTCAGAATGTTCACAAGAAATTCAGACTACTCTGTTGAAATATTCATAGTGACATGCTGAGCTGTATAGGAAATCCAAGGTAGCAAGAATTTATGCAGAACAGCCAGTGGCATTTAATGTAGATAATTTAAAAAGGAATAAATGCCTTATTGAATATCCAAGCATCAAAAGGTAGCATTAAGATAGGCAAAGAATGAGAATTCTCTATTCAACATGTCAATCTCAAATTAGATTACTATTTTTTTTTTAGTATTCTTGTAGTATTTTTTAAATTTTGCATTAATGCTTATTAAAATCTTGGCAACATAGAAACCCTATTACAATATATTCATGGGAGGCTTTTATTGTAAAGTACTAGACAGATTCAGTTTAGTCACCTGACTTATTCTCAGAAAAGTAGAAAAGAGAAACATTCAGAGTTCTTGATCAACATTATGGGATTGTTCCTACCATATTACTCTGAGACTGTGTAGCCCCATACATTGTAATGCCATTTGAGGAAGTTGCTGGCTGAGGGGTATCTGGTTGGATAAATCCTCTTCGGTCAATTAAACTATAGAATAAATGCAAAGGTATATTACAAATAATTATTATCAGATAAGAATGAAGCTAACTTTAAGACAAATAGTTTAATATAACAACATGAAAAATTTATGGAAGTAATTTGAATTCAGAAGAGTAAAATAGCTTCTTATAATGCAGTTGCATGCACAAGTTTAGGTACTTCTGGAATTGTATATTTCAATAAAAAAACTATTTTAGTATCCAAAATGTTTGCCCTCATAATTTACATAAAGTGATCATTCTAAGTCAACAGAATAGAAATGCATTCTATTCATTTGCTGCATGTCCCTGCAAAGTTATTAATACTAATTCCAACTTTCTCTATAGTTTAAATAGGTTTCTGTTCTTATCTATTTAGTTTGCTGTACTAGTGGTACAGTATGTACTGAAGATAAATACATTTGAAAATAAATGTCCAATCAAAGTAACAATTTCTGCTTGGAATATTGTGTTTTCAAAACTATGGCTAGACATTTTTAGATTGTAATCATTCACAGCTGGACAGTGAACTAAAAAATTATTGCTGAAGACAAAAAAAAACCCTAGCTGATTAATTTTTCCATAAAGTTTTATTCAGTTTTTGCAGGAGCAAATTAATGAGTTGTGTCTAGATTGATATATTATAATTTTCCCAGTGTCTTATTAGTTGCACACCATAAAATTACATACCACCAGAGGATTCAAAGGTCATATGATACTTATGGCAGTATATGTGCTCTTGGGAGTTACATATACCTGACTCAATGGACACACTAAGGTACAACAAAAGAAAATACTGAAAAATTGCATTAAATTTCTTACCTAGGAGAAAGGGGCCCACAAAGTGCTGAGCAGCAATTAGCACAAATGTTGCCATAGCTGTAAGGATTGAAGTTTTCTTTGCCTCTTTTATTTGACCAAGATCCCTTGATCTATAAAGAAATGAATACTGGTGCATTATTTTTTATTTTTAATAATTTTTATTTTTAATTAATTTTAATAGCACTCTTCAGTTTATACTGTATTATTTATTCTAAGAAAAAATACCTAGAACAAAAATAAACTATATCAAATTATGAAGTTCTGTGAGTTCTGTGTCTTGAACCTGAATTTATTTTTCCCATTTCAATACATCATTTGATCCATAACATCTCAGTACATGTTTTCAATAATTTCATGCTGTCAATCAGACATTTCAAAGGAAAAAGAAATAAGTGACATTCCAGAAATGTCATACCAGAAACATTTGGTGCTCATCTACAATAGAACAGATAGTAAAATGGATTCATTTCTATTTTTCTTCCTTACAAATGTGCTATATTTCATACATCCAGTGCAGTTCAGGGTATGATTCAAGACCTACAAATAGGATCTCCTCTTTCCTAATTTGTTTATCTTCACAATTAAATACAGAGACAGCGATTGAACCAAAATAATCTGGTGAAATAAATCCTAACCCAATCCAAACTATGGAAAATAGGTATTCATTAAATTCTCATATTTTTTTTTGCAAAGTTTCTTATGGAGTTATGGGGATCATAATTATCATTTACCAAGCATACAGAGCCTAACTTATATTAGAGAGTTTTCCAACAACTATCTTGTTTTTTAGTTATTCAATATATTGCCAAGACATTTCTGACCATCTTTTTAAGCTTGGAGAAGGCAAACATTCTCTAGCCAGGCCAGTTTCTTACTCATATTCTCTAAAACAGCCTTTTTTAAATTAAAATTCTGTGAGAGATTATGATCGAGAAAAAAAAAAACATCGCAGTGAAAATGTTTATTCGCTACAATTCAGCTATCAGCCTACCACGTCAGTTTGTTGTTGTTGTAAATGTTCTACAATGTGGATTGTGTAGAAGTTACATGTATTCAGGTTTTTTTTCCCTGCAGGAATCCATGAGATCTAAAAATTATTTCAAGAGTACCTCCAGGGGGAAAAAAGATTGTGGAAGGCTGCTCTAAATTACTAGTGCTGTCGTTGTGGTCTCCTAGCCTAAGCTCCACTTAATTAAGACAAAGTCAAGTTCAGTGATTTTACTGTAGAACGGTGTCTCAACTATGCTTTGTTTCTTGCCAAGAAGCTATCAAAAGGTACAGTCATATGCATTAAATAGACAAAAATAGGACAGCACACTTGAGTGAATCTTGTAACCTTTTAAAAAATAGATAAAAGCTGACAATGAAAATGGAATACATGACTCATTAGATGGAGACAAATTAAAGCGAGGGGAAACTTACATCCTCATTGGTTGTTTGATTGGAGCTGATCAAATAAGTATGAAAACCTGAGAGCCCAACAATGGACCAAACGGAGAAGAAACACACCACAGCTTCTAAGACAGTGATTGAATGTCAAGGCAGTATTAACTCAAAAGTCAGTGAAGATAAAAGCTATTGGCAAAAATAGCTAAATGAACATTCCATCTTACAAATCAAGATTATCACTCAGGATCACTATTGTATCTGGAAACAACAGACATGCCGGGTTTACTAGCACACTGTGTTTGAAAAGTTCCACATTTTCCTGAAATATTTGATTACATTAGTAACTATGCATGTATATACACATTTTTAAAATCCTATAAAATGTCCAGCTTCCCATCCTGTAAACTTGAAAGAGTTATGGATTTCACTTAAACCCAGTTCTGGAGATATACATTATAACTTATCAAAAGGGCAGGATTAGAATAAAATATAATAATGTTTAACATTAATTGGTTATAACATAAAGTAATCCCTTTAATTAAATTGAATTCTGCACCTGCATATTCCAATTTCACACACAAGCCACTCATTTACACAGAAACGTGCAGGTACACACACACACACACACACACACACACACACACACACACAGACAAAATCATATCCATTCGTACATACATAAATATATATATACATACATACAGTTTCAAATACAGAGATCCACAAGAGGAGGCATATGAAAAAAACCAGTGTCAGGCCACCATGACTCCAGCTCTGTCCCTTTGATTGGTGTATCATATTACAGGCATACACTAAAGAGGGTAAACTGCCACACAATGACACAATGCTGCATTTGTCATGCTGAAAACATTAGATCCTGAGAATACCTCTATCCCCTGCCTTCTAATAGGAACAAAAAAATAGGGAAAGGAAGGAAGGAAATTGGATATAAAGGGGTAGCTGCCAAAGGAAAAGGAAGTGAAAGCCAATGTTCAGTAGAAATCAAGCAATGGGAAGTGATAACTGAACAAGAAAGGATTGAGGTGACAGAAATCCTGTTTAGGTCCTACCAAAGGGTTAAACCCATTAGGCAAAGGGTATTATCAGGAAATCTTCAAAAATATCTACACTTTTAGCCAGTGATGTTTGCAGTCATTTACATCTGAACTCATTCAGTGATATCTGCTATTCTTCTTGGCAGTCAAGTCAATTTATGAACTGGATCCTAAATATTCATAAATTCAGTTCATAAGTAATTATCTGTGGGGGGCAGGGAAGGAAAATAGTCTTCTTATTGGATTAATGCAGTTCTTTACCATTCAGTCAGTTTTGTTCTTCTGTGAAAGTTAAGCAGATGGTATGTGGGAGAAAGTAAATATAGCTTATTCTAATATGACTTAACTTCCAATATAACTTCTCGGCTGCATAAAACTAACATGATATACCAATCAAAAGGAACAAATGAATGAAAAACTGAAAATATAAAGGCTTTAACTTCGATGTGTTTCTGCTCGGTTCAGCTTTTGATATGTTTCTTTCTTACTGAATTTTTTTCCTTTCTAGTATTTTACGTTATGGCATTTTCTAAATACTAATTGTACAACTACAAATCTGCTCTCTGAAATGTGGAATCAAATAGGCACAGCATATGGCCAAGTCTTTTTCTTGTAAATCATTGAAGGCAATCATTCATGGAAAAAGAGTAACTTCTTTGTACTGGAGCTACAACTTCACAATGGCTTCTTTCTAGACAAGATGTAATTTGATGTTATTTCTACCTTATTTGAGATTTAATTTTTGAAATCCTCTTTGCCCAGAACTTTAAATAAATTTTGTTGGAGGGATGCACAAATAAACATTTTTCAGAGATAAGGAAAAGAGCAGCAAATAGAACTAGAACATAAGGCCCAAATATTTTACTGGGTTGTTTTTTAAAGATATGTTTAATACATTTCTATATGGCTGTCAAGCAGATACTGTTGCCAGCCTGTTACTATGGAAAATCTGTGTGCCACAAATTCCTTTGTATATTTTAGCATTTGCTTCACAAAAACCAAATTTCTGAGGACAGCTCTCCTCCTCCCATATTTTAACTGTATTTATTATTACTACTATTAGTTTATTGTTATTATTCACTGTTTTATCATTTTAAGGTCTACCAGTTTTCATATTTGTAAGCAGCCCAAAGTCATATAGCAGCACATAAATCCAATAAAAAAAATGAAATATACTTCACATTTAAATATCCAGTTTGGTGTAGTAATAAGGCACCAGGCTAGAAGCCAGGAGACTGTGAATGCTAGTCCTGTCTTAGGCGTGAAAGCTGTCTGGGTGATGTTCTGACCTAGGCTTCCTGATACAATAAAAAGCACATGATTAGGTCCAAAAACCTTATTTTTATTTCAAAGGCTGTGAATTATATTCATTCACAGCTGGTAATGAATCACAAATAGTTGGAAAGAGTTCTATAGGAGGCTGCCAAAGTCCTTCAGAATACGACTGATAAGCACCCACCTTTATCTTCTTTGAAAACACTGCCAAATATTTAATTAGCAATTACCTTGCCAAGGCGACATGGAGCAAAGAGTCCCAACTGAGTTTCAGAAGATAAACTGACCAGCATGAACCAAGTTGCTTCCTGCAAAGGCTCATGTGCCTTTGCTCCTCCTTTATGTCCTATGGGAGGGACCAATCACCTCCAAACCTTACTTCTGAGTTGTTCCTTCTGTTTTAACTGTTCTTACCTTCTGGCAACTCTGCTCATGCACGCATTTGGAACAGGGGAAGCTGCTGTCTGACTCTGGAGGCAGCAGAGATGGCAGAGATAACTCCCAGATGGCCCTACCCCCCTCTCTCCCTCCGATGCAGAGTCCTGGTCCAAGCCTTCCCCAGACTTCAGGACTGGCCCACGTTCTCTCCAACCACCTCGCTGTCTGACTCTGCTGCGAGCTCCACAGGCCGCCGGTGGACCACAACAGGTGACTTTCAGCCAGTTACATTCTCTCAGCCATAATATCAGGCTTGGAAAGTGATCTGGGCAGTCAATTCCCAGTGCATCAATGGATCAATACTTGTTTGATCTGAAAACAGTGGATACTGC